AGCATCAATTATCATATTGAAATGGTAAATATAAAGGACTGGTGATTTACAAAGCAGCCATAAAATTACATATCACGAAGTATCTTTTTCAAAAATGAGAATGCTCTTTGTACTATTATGAAATTATTTTCAAGATACATTATGTGAAAAAAGATATAGTATGTGCACAACTTTTTGAAATGCAAAACAAGTATGTTACATTCTACTAAAAAGGGAGAAATTATATACATTTGTATGCATACATATGTACATATGTTTCTTTGTATAAGCATAAAATATCTCTGGAAAGATATACCAGAAACTGATAAAATTGGTTGGTCTTAAGAAGGAAGCTGGACAGCTGAAGAGCTGGGTTTGAAGAGAAACATTTCATTAAATATAATTTTGTATTTTTTAAAATTTTGAACCATGTAAATAATAGTACCATTCCAACATTTAAAGTATTGTTTTGCCATCAGAAATGACTAAGATTCTTTCCCTACTAATTTCATGATAAATTTCTCATGCATTAATGGGAGAGAAAAAAGCAAAATGCCCCAACATGCTTTCAAACTTTTTCTTCTCTAGTTTATTGACAAGGAAGACTTTAGTACATAAAACTCTAACATGCTGTGATTTTGGTGAAAAATGATGAGTTAGCTAACTCCTTAGAATTTTATAAGCATTGATATTTTCCTGGAGTAGAGCTTCCAGCTAATTTTCCCAGTCACACGCTATCAGAAATGGAAAAAATATGTATTTTTGGTACATTGATTTGAGTAGTGAGGAAGTAATCTCATGGGAATTCCATGGGATCATTTTATTTTATTCCCAAACTTGATCCTCCTTTTTAATTTGTTAATTGTTTCTATTTATTTAAACCACCACATCACTGAATGAGGGATTTAAATGAAGTCTAAAGGACAGGCAGAATAAATATTTGGAAATATTAAAACAGAATCCAAGGAAAAACATACAGATAAGAGTAAACACACCATTGAGTAATATATTAAACCACTGAGCTTTTCGGTTGCCAAATGCCACAACCAGTTACATAACTGCCATTTTCAAAAGGGGCGAAGGAGTTCTTTAAGGGAAGCAACGCTTTACCTAGCACTGAATTCAAAGGGAAGTTTTTTTCACTCATATTTCAGATCAAGACTATGGATTGGGAAAGGAAATAATATATCATTCATAATATGTAAGAAACTTTAAGTGATTATTTTTCATAAAGGCTTAGAACATAAACCAAAAATATTATAATAAAACTCAACTTGATGACGGTATTCACCCAGCCAAACCTTTTAACAGCATATTGGGATCCAGGGTTGACCATAAATAGAGGTGTGTAAAAGCTGTTAAAAGTCAAGTTTGCTCTTGGTAAATTTCTAACATGTTCACAAATTCCTTGACTGAGATATAAGACACACTTGCTTTATACAACATTCCAGAAATTTTCCAGT